CTTGGCCTCCCAAAGTGTTGGGATTACAAGTGTGAACCACTTCACCCTGCCTATTTATTATTATTATTGTTTGGGTTTTTTTTTTTTTTTGAGATGGAATTTCGCTGTTGTTACCCAGGCTGGAGTGCAATGGCATGATCTCGGCTCTCCGCAACCTCCGCCTCCCGAGTTCAAGCAATTCTCCTGCCTCAGCCTCCCAAGTAGCTGGGACTACAGGCACGCACCACCATGCCCAGCTAATTTTTGTATTTTTAGTAGAGACGGGTTTCACCTTGTTGACCAGGATGGTCTCGATCTCTTGACCTCGTGATCCACCTTCCTCAGCCTCCCAAAGTGCTGGGATTATAGGTGTGAGCCACCGTGCCTGGCCATTATTGTTTGTTTTTTGAGATGGAGTTTCACTTTGTCACCCAGGCTGGAGTGCACTGGCATGATCTTGGCTCACTGCAATTTCCACCTGCTGGGTTCAAGCAGTTTTCCCTGCCTCAGCCTCCAAGTAGCTGGAATTACAGGAACCCACCACCATGCCTGGCTAAATTTTTGTATTTTATAGTTTAGACAGGATTTTGCCACGTTGGCCATGTTGGTCTTGAACTCCTGACCTCAGGTGATCTGCCTGCCTCAGCCCCCAAAAGTTCATTCTCAGTTATTTAGACTACATGGAAATCCATTGTCTATTTTTTTTTTTTTTTTGAGACAGTCTCGCTCTGTTGCCAGGCTGGAGTGCAGTGGCGCAATAGCGCAATCTTGGCTCACTGCAATCTTCGCTTCCCAGGCTCAGATGATTCCCCTGCCTCAGTCTCCTGAGTAGCTGGGATTACAGGCACACACCACCATGCCCAGCTAATTTTTTGTATTTTAGTAGAGATGGGGTTTTACCATGTTGGCCAGGATGCTGTTGATCTCCTAACCTCATGATCCACCCGCCTTGGCCTTCCAAAGTGCTGCACCCGGCAACATCTGTTTTTTTTTTAAAACAGAAAGTTGGCAAGGAGGAAAACAGGATGTAGAACATATATAAATTTATGTTGATTAATGCACACTAGTGACATCTTTTCTCCTCTCCCATAACTACCACTAGGTAAATAAGAGACATAAGTGATCATTAATGGTAGAACTAATAAAAAAGCATAATTGCTAGATATACATCATAGGGTTTTAGTGAGGATAAATAAAGATAAGTTGTGTAAAGCAGTTCTCCAACTTTAAAGTGCATAGGAATCACCTGGAGATTTTGTTAAAATGCAGATTCTGATTCAGTAAGTTATCCATGGTGCCCAAGAATCTACATTTCTTCTTCTTCTTCTTTTTTTTTTTTTTCTTTCTTTCTTTCTTAAGAGAAAGGATTTGCTCTGTTCTCAGGCTGGAGTGCAGTAGCACGTTCATAGCTCAGTGCAGCCTGGAACTTTTGGACTCAAGCATTCCTACCACTTCAGCCTCCTGAAGATTCTGGATTTCTAGTAAGCTCCCACGTGATCAGATGGTGCTGGTCTGTGGACCTCATTTTGAATAGCAGTGATGTTAAAGCACTTAGCTTGTTGCCTGGCACATCTTAGTCCAGTGTAAGTAAGATGAATGTTATTAACACCGGATAATTTATGAGAGCCAAGAAAATCCTCTACCACCATATATCTTCCTCACCATATCTGAAAATACCTGCATTTTTATTGGGTAACATCTTTTTAAAAAGTTGATATTGCCAGGCGCGGTGGCTCAAGCCTGTAATCCCAGCACTTTGGGAGGCCGAGGCGGGTGGATCACGAGGACAAGAGATCGAGACCATCCTGGTCACCATGGTGAAACCCCGTCTTGTCGGGGTCGGCACATCTGCCGGGGGACTACCGACCTGCAGGAGTCCCCGAGACCGCCAACGTAGATGTCTGGTTCTACCTGAGGGAGGGAGTGCGCGGAAGTGAAAGGAAATAGAAAAGCGGAGTCTGGAGGGCTGGCTTAGGCTATGTCCAAGCAGCGATTTTATTTTTGCAATACATTTCATTATATACTTTTCTGAAGCCAAAGTTGTTTACACCAGATCAACGTACTTAAGTTACAGTAAGCAAGTTACGCCAAGTTACTAAGTAAGTTAATCCTATTAAGTAGGTTACGCCCAGTAAGTAGGTTACTTTCAGTAAGTAGGATACTTTCAGTAATTAGGTTACGCCCAATAGATCAATGTAAGTAAGTTACAGTCATGCCAGGTAAGCTATGGGAAGTAAGTTACAGTTACACCCAGTAAGTTACGGTAAGTAAGTTACCAAGTGTAAATACTTAAGTTAATATTTTACAATGAAGGTAACAAGGGTCCAAAATGAACACAATCAAGCAATAAACCATAAGAAGCCGAAAGTGGACACATTGCCTCCCAAGTCCTCATATCCATAAAGTAATGTCTGTTAATTATTTAGAATAACATAGTCCCTCTCTCGGTTCCTGCTTTCCCTCAGCTCTACTCCTCCAACCAGGGATCTGTGTCTGGGCTCAAGCTCACCGTATGGCGAGGCCCATTTCCCAGGGGCCTCACATGGGAGCGATCCCCACAGATTCCCTCACCGTCTCTACTAAAAATACAAAAAATTAGCTGGGCATAGTGGTGTGTGCCTGTAATCCCAGCTACTCAGGAGGCTGAGGCAGGAAAATTGCCTGAACCCAGGAGGCGGAGGTTGTGGTGAGCCGAGATTGTGCCATTGCACTCCAGCCTGGATAACAAGAGCAAAACACCATCTCAAAAAATAAAAATAAAAAAAGTTGATATCTGTGGGAGGATTAATGAGCGAATTGGTTTAATCAGATTGCTGCCCTCCCAATTTGTCAGAAATCAAATGATTTAGAATTTTTTTCTTTTTTTTTGTTTGAGAGTTTTGGCTCTTGTTGCTCAGGCTGGAGTGCAATGGTGTGATCTTGGCTCACTGCAACCTCTGCCTCCCCCTCCTCAGTAGCTGGGATTACAGGTGCCTGCCACCATGCCTGGCTAATTTTTTTTTTTTTTTTTTTTTGTAGAGATGGGGTTTCACCATGTTAGCCAGGCTGGTTTTGAACTCCTGCCCTCAAGTGATTGGCCTCCCAAAGTGTTAGGATTACAGGCAAGGGCCGTTGCATCTGGCTTAGTTTTTTTTTTTTTTTTTTTTGTTTTTTTTTTTTTGCCAGCTTCATTGAAGTACAATTTATATACAATAGAATTCACCAGTTTTAAGTGTACAAATTTGCTAAGTTTTGACAAATGGAGAAAGTTGTATAACCACTACCGCAATCAGGATATAGACAATTTCTGTAACCCCAAAAAGTTACCTCTTGCCCCTTCCATGGTCTGAAATGTTACTGGGGGAGAAAGGAAGGTGATTTAGGAGTCAGAGTAGAGGAAGACTAATAAATTCTGGTAGCTTCAGTTTTGCCTAGAAAGCAGGAGATTAGAAAATCCCAGCTGACTTGGATGTGTATTTCATGTTTTGTTAATTTAGGCTGACCCACTGGTTCCAGTTTGCCTGGGACTTTCCTAGTTTTAACACTCAAATTTCCATGTCCAGAGAACCCCTTTTGTGTCCCACAGGCAGACCAGTACAGTTGGTTGCCCTAGCTGTGATGTTCATGTCATTGTTCTTACGCCTGAGATTACCATCTTGTTTTAGTCACTTTTCTCATGAGCAAGTACATAGTAGGCATTCAGTTGAGTGAATGGGTGGACATGCAGATAAACCCCACATGGCTGCAGATTCTTGGCCTAGAGAACATGAGACTTGGGTTTTGGTGCAAGCTCTGCCAGGTTTGCAGTGGTGTGACCCTGGGAAAGTGGTTTTCTCACTCTAGGTCTGTTTCGTCCATTAGTAGATAGGGGATATGTAACCACTTCTGCCTCTAGGACATGGTTACTCCTCTGCCTACACATGGCATTATGTTTTGATGTTACCTCCACTCAGCTTTCTCTCTTTTCCTTGCCCCCCTCCACCTTCAAATATATGTAGTAGATTAATAAATTATGTAAAGGTATGTTGATAATAGAACTGCTGATGGGCTGGGCTTACGCAGAGTGCTTTGGTGAAAGCAATAGAGTTTGGACCTTGCACCAAGCAGCCATAGCTGGGAATTGGAGAATCAAGTCTCTGTCTTCAATTACGTGTCTATAATTACCTAATTTGTTCTTTGTGTATGCCTGGGAGAGAGGATGGTAGGCAGAGGGGGACTGCTGTTTTTAGGAATTTTCCTGGCTGCATGAAGGGGAACTTCTTATCTATCAGAGGGAGCTATTACAGTATCTCAGGGTCTTACTCAGTAGCCTAGTGCTGAAGAATAATTAAAATTAGAAATATCAGAACTTGGGTTGCAACCTAGGGCAAACTTGAGGTTAGGGAGATGCATTCTGTTTCTGAATCTGCATGTACTAGCATGGAACTGTGGGCACATTGTGTAATCTCTCTGAGTCTGGTGTTTGCCTCGAGTTTTCCATTTTAATGGAGTATCTGTATTGCCTTCTTCAGGGTGGTTCTATTCAGTGAGGCAATACGGGGGGAATTCAATGAAACTGGGACATCTATACACATGTGAGGTATTATTATTAATCACTTAGTCTCTATGGTGGGGCCTGATACATGGGGGAAGGGAAGTGGAGACGAATTTGGGGATTTTGTCTGCTTAGCTCTCCAAGTAATCTCATTAACACCCCCTGACTTCCAATAAAATAGGGAAAGTAGGTTTGAGGGAGATACTTTTTTTTTTGCTAGGAAGACACTCTTTGTAGAGGCAGTTTCTCACCATGTTGCCCAGGCTGGTCTCAAACTCCTGGGCTCAAGCGATCCTCCCGCCTTGGCCTCCGAAAGTGCTGGGAGTATAGGCATGAGCAACTGTACTTGGCCCTATCTGTCTGACAAAATTCCTGACTTCTCTTTGGGAAATCTTTTCCTTGGCTCTAAGTTCCCTATTCCAGCTTTTATTTCCAAATTTGGGAGACAGTGGAGCAAGAATCTTCCTTTGGAAGTTAAGCCTCTCAGCTAAAAGCCAGGCAGATACCCCTTCCTACCTAGAGTGAGCTTGGGTGTCTCCCTCTGGGGCTTCAGGCCTGTGAAGGGTTAAGTGAGCCACACCCTCAGGAGGAACAGCCTGGACTTTGTGCTGAGCAGCCATCTCTGGCCTCTCCTGGTTTGACTGGCACAGAGAGCCTGGGTTGGAAGAGGCAGCAAAAGGGAAAATCAGAAGAGTGGACACTGGCAAGAGGAGGGCAGCCTCTTTCCTGGCTTCCCCGAACCATGGACAGCTCCCATTAAGCCACCTCTCCATCCTTGGGGCCGGAACTCCTATCCCCCATTTCTTTCAAATTGAGATTTCATCCACCATTCTCCAAAGGACAGTGAAGTTACACCCTTGTTCCTGTGTTGGGTGAGTCCTGCCTTAACCTGTCACTGCGTCTCTTTAACACCTTGGGGTGCTCCATCTGGGGCCTGTTGCCTTTTTCCCTTCCCCACCCTCAACCAGTCACATTCCCTCTCCCTTCAAATCCAAATCTAAAGAAGCTGCTGGTTCCCAATCGACCTTCTGCTTCTCACCCTTCCCTGCCAAATTAGTTAAAAGACTTAGCTTTTTGTAAAATCCAGAAAATACCAGAATAGTATGTACTTCACGGGGATATTGTAAGCACTAAATGAATTGGTATATGTACAGTGCTTAGAGCCCCACCCAGCTCATGGTAAATGTTGCATGATTCCTAGAGACTGCTATTATTGGTATTCTTATTGCTTCCTCAGGTGTGACAAGTGCCCTCTTTTCCTAGAGCTTGGGGAAAGCCAAATGAAGGGAGAAGGAAGCCTGTGCCCCTTCTTACCCCACTTCCATTCCTGCTTTCTCCCCGCCCCCACCTGGGTTTAGAGATGCAGTAGCATAGGAGGATGTGTCTCTTTCATTCCTGTTTGGGAGTGGCATTGACCATTGTACTAATAATTCTGTTCTGTACCCAGCCACTCTGCCTACTCAGTCTCACAGCAAAGACTGAGAAGGGCTGGGTTTCCTCCTTAGGGAACACCTGCCATGTGCCTGCTGCATGGGGGCCAAGCCCTCCACCCTCCCTGCAGCTCCAACTCTGTTCCTTCTTGCCCACCCCCACCAAGAAGCTGGGTGTGTCCCTCTGGGACAATGTCCATGCCAGAAGGTTACAGGAGTGGGTGTAAAAGCTGGAGATGGAAAAATAGAGACAGATCTGTAGCACATCCAGAGGTCTTGACAACTGCTTGTTTGTTGCGGAAGCAAACCTCACTTTCATTTTCTTTGTGAAATTCCATTCTCTTATGGAGGAACTCCTGCCTCTGTCCTCTATAATTCTGCCTTGTCCAGTTCCCATTTTAAAAATGAAACTCACTGTAGCAATTATAGGGGAGGAGTGATCTTTGGAAGAAGTTCTGAAATGGGTATGGGTAGGTTGGGTGTCTTTAATAGGGGCTGTGAGAGGTAAGGCATTGAGAAGAAGCACTGGGGCAGATAGGGAGTCTGGACCCTGGCCAGGGCCCAGTGCAGGAGAGAGAGGGCTTTCTGTACCTGGTGGCAGCACAAGTCTTCACTTATGCTTTCCTCCTCAGCCCTCTCTCCTTCAGTCATAACTCTGCTTCCCCAGTTGTAGCCCACTGGGTGCTTGCCTTCCCCTGGTGATCAGAGGCAGGTGTTCCTGTCCCGCCTCTGCCCCACCCCAACTAACTAACCCAGGTAGCAGGGGATCCCCCCACGTCCTGCTGAGAATTTCAGCCTCCCTTAGCTAGCTTGGGCTGGTCCAGAGGCCTCTCCTAGATTGGGGGCTTTCTTTAGGGCCAGGGCAGGAAGAAAGGAAGGCTCTTCTGGTCCTTCTGCCATCCTCCCCTCAGTTACTGGCCCCTAAGGCTGAGCTGACATTAGCAAACTGTGCTCCTTATCCCCAGGATCAGTGGCCCCTCTGGACATGCCTCTCCTGGAAGGTTCTGTGGGAGTGGAGGATCTTGTCCTCCTGGAACCCCTGGTGAAGGAGTCACTGCTCAAGAATCTTCAGCTTCGCTATGAAAACAAGGAGATTTATGTGAGTGTCATATAGGTGTCCATGGCTGTGGATTTGTGGCTGGAGAGGTCACAGGCTCCTGCCTTACCCCCTAGCTGATTCCCTTCACCTTCTTCCTGGCTCCAGACCTACATTGGGAATGTGGTGATCTCAGTGAATCCCTATCAACAGCTTCCCATCTATGGGCCAGAGTACATTGCCAAATATCAAGACTGTACTTTCTATGAGCTGAAGCCCCATATGTGAGTAGACCAAGGGAAGGCCGATAAGGCCCCAGGTTTTTGACACCGAGGCATCCTAATTTCCTCTGTCCCTTTCCCTGAAGGGGATTCTCCAGCTTACCCTTCCTTCCCTGACCTTCTGGAGGTCCCTTCTAAGCCCTGTCACATCTTGCACAGTCTGCTCTAAGTAGAGAGAGTGGGTGAACCTGCGTGCTGGATAGTGAGTGAAAGATGGTGTCTTGAACTGGCTCCACAACAGTCATTGCCCACTTCCTCCCCACAAGCTACGCATTGGCAAATATGGCGTACCAGTCACTGAGGGACAGGGACCGAGACCAGTGTATCCTCATCACAGGCGAGAGTGGATCGGGGAAGACTGGTGAGGCCCCTGGCTGGGGGATCACATGGAGTCACCTCTGGAACTGCTTCTTTGTCTCTTTCCAAGTCAGTCCTAGACCTGACCCTCCACTCTGCAGAACTTCCTTCCCACTTTTTCTAACTCCAAGGGGTGGTAAGGCACTGGAGTGAGGGAAGTTAAGGAGGCGAGGGTATGGGTTGGTCCTGGGTGGGGACCCACAAATGTTTCTCCTGCAGAGGCCAGCAAGCTGGTGATGTCTTACGTGGCTGCTGTCTGTGGGAAAGGAGAGCAGGTGAACTCTGTGAAGGAGCAGCTGCTGCAGTCTAACCCAGTGCTGGAGGGTGAGAATTCTGGTCTCTGGCCTCTCCACCCTCCACCTAGCCCTCAGAAACACTCAGCCCTAGACCCTCTTTTCCAGTGCTGCAAAATCACTGCTCTTGTTCAGCCCCCAAAAATCTATTGGCACGGGGACTGGAAGCCCTTCCTCCTTTCCCTTCTCTAGAGTTTCACTTCTCCCCTCCTCACCTCTGCAGCTTTTGGCAATGCCAAGACCATTCGCAACAACAATTCCTCCCGATTTGTGAGTAAATGTCTCCCCACCTGGGAGGAGAGGATATAGGGGCTTGAGAGGGAGGAATGTAGCACAGACCCCTCCTGGGCAGGGTGGTGAGAAGAGGAAGAAGCTAAGTCTCTCTCTCTGGTCTCTCTCTGAAGGGAAAATACATGGATATTGAATTTGACTTCAAGGGATCCCCCCTTGGTGGTGTCATCACAAACTGTACGTGTCTTCCCATTCCACTTACCTATCTTCCACCTGCCTCGGGTAGCCCTTTCTGCTAATCTGTCCCTGTAGAAAGGCAGAATGTTAGATGTCAAGGAGACTTCCCAACCACTAGTAATGCTGGCGATGGGTGCAGAATTGGAGGGAAGCCTCGGTATCTCCCAGGCCCTCAGGATGTTTTCTAATTATCTGCCAGATCTGCTTGAGAAATCCCGAGTGGTGAAGCAGCTCAAAGGAGAAAGGAACTTCCACATCTTCTATCAGCTGCTGGCTGGAGCAGATGCACAGCTGCTGAGTATGTGCTTGCATGGGGAAAGTGTCCTCATGAGTGACACATGGCAAAGTCCCCAACCTTCATTCAGTTCCAGAACCGCTGTTCCCTCTGAACCGCTGAAGCCCTCTTCCCTTGAGCCTCCCAGATTTTCCTTGCTGCATGTCCCACTCTGAGCCTCACCCACTCGTTGGGAACAAATTCCTTTACCCGCCTGTTCTCTTACTTTTCTGGGTTTTATTGCCAGGGATATGGCTTCTTGCCTTTTCACTGTTCTTATTCCTGTTTCCTGCCTGGGTTCCGCTTTCCCTGAGCTGGCTTCAAATATGAAACACTTGTCTCCATCTACTTTCCTTTCTATCTTCAACTTAAGGGGATTTAATTAAAGCAGGGAATCAGGCAGAATGTTTTAAGTGTTCAGGAACTTCCAGTGAGCTCCAGCTGAAGCTGTCCTCGGTCTACATCTGCCTCACCCAGGACCCTGTTCCTGATTTTCTTTTCATCCATTCAACGTCTCTTGAGCACCTACTATGATCAGATATCATGCAAGCCTCTAGGGAAACAGAGTTGAGTAAGACATGACCCTGTCCTTGAAGAACTTGTAGTCTTTTACCTATGTGAGCAGATCCATTGTAATATCGTGTGATCGGGTCCATCAGGCCTGTGCAAGTGACTGTAAGAGCAGAAGACCTAGAGCCCCTTGCCTTGGCCTAGGGAAGAGTCCATCGCAGCCTGGATGCTGGACTGGCCTGAAGAGGCTCTGGGTGGACATCACTGGAGGGTCTGGTGGACTTTAAGTTCTACTAGAGTTTGCCTCCCAATCTCCCCTCTGGCTGTGAGCACCATGGGTGTCTGGCCCCCAAGAATGTCTCTTTGGTTTCTGGTGATTCTATGCTGGACCTGTGCTATCTCCTTTTCCACTCTTGGAGATCTCTATGGTCTCCAGGAACCGCTGTAGATCTCATGCTCATTTCTAGCTTAATAGTTTTGGTAGTGTTCAACTTGTCTGCATCACAGGCATTAGCGTCTTGTTCTGATTGGTTCTGTCACTATTGGTTTAAATCAACTCTGGCTGAAGTCTCCCAGGTGTCATCATCCCCAGACTTTCTGACTCATTCTCCCTTCAGATGCCCCTCCTTAGCAGGCTCTTGTTTCAAAATTTGTGTGTTGGGGGGGGGGAACTGCCATTAGAATATAGTTTGAGATACTCCCTGATTCTCAGATCATTTGCATACCAGATAATTGACATCCCTCAAACTCCATGATTAACCCAATCCTTCCCATTCTAGGGAAACAGCTTTGATCATTCACTTGATTCGTTTATTAAAAAGAGAAAAGTTCTTGCCTGCCAGACAGGCACATAGAATATGGAGATGAGAAACACAGTCCCAACACACAAGTTGCTCATTTATGGGAGAGACAGAAAAAAAACATAACCTAATCCATATATATGGGCTGGGATAGCGATTCACCAGTGGGGAACGAAAGAGAGCCACTTGGCTCAGGCCCTCAGCATCAGAAAAAACTTTTTAGAAGAGGTTTCAGGGTCAGGGAACATCCTACCTGCCTTTATTGGTATTCAATGTTCAAACAATGAATGAGCAACCCAGGCCAAGAGTTGAGGCTGGGGGCAGGCAGGAGATATAGGCTTACCTTTCTCCCCCTACCATCACCCTCCCGAGGCACTTGCATAGAATGGAGGGGTTGCTTATTTGTTATTGTTTAGAACCCCGAGGGTGGGGAGAAGAGTTAAATAGGCTTTTGTTTCATAAAAGTTGGGGGAAAATATAATCAGTATGAGTGTCAAAACCCTAAATGCTACTTAAAAGTGTACTTAAAATTTAGTCTATTAAGCAGAGTGCAGTGGCTCACAGTAATCACAGCACTTTGGGAGGCTGAGGTGGGCAGATTGCTTGAGTCCAGGAGTTGAGACCAGCCTGGCCAACATGGCAAAACCCTGTCTCTACTAAAAATACCAAAATTAGCCAGGCATGGTGGCATGCACCTGTAGTCCCAGCTACTCAGGAGGCTGAGGCATCAGAATCACTTGAACCTGGGAGGTGGAGCTTGTAGTGAGCCAAGATTGCACCGCTGTACTCCAGCCTGGGTAATAGAGTGAGACCCTGTCTCAACAACAACAAAAAATTAGTCTATTATTATAGGAATTAATGATCCCAAAACAAAGGAGGCAGGAGAAGAACCCAAAACAAAAATGGCCCCTTTGAATAAATGAATGAATCCATCAGGGCAAGGGCTGTGAGGTGTCAAGGCTGGAGGGCTCCAGAGAACCTGGGTACTAACCCTCTTCCCCAACACTGGCCCTCCCAGAGGCCCTGAAGCTTGAGCGGGATACAACTGGCTATGCCTATCTGAATCAGGAGGTACCCAGAGTGGATGGTATGGACGACGCCTCCAGCTTCAGTGCTGTACAGGTGGGTACGCAGGGTGGAACAGGCTTGGGCCCTTAGGTCATCCTCGATTCTCACTGGACTGGCACCAGCAGTTCAGGTTTTGATTTCTGTTTTCTGCCTAAGAGTGCAATGGCAGTGATTGGGTTCTCGGAGGAGGAGATTCGACAAGTGCTAGAGGTGACAGCCCTGGTGCTAAAGCTGGGGAACGTGATGGTGGCTGATGAGTTCCAGGCCAATGGGATACCAGCAAGTGGCATCTGTGATGGGAGAGGTCTGCACCCTACCCTGCTGGAGCCCCGACCCAGGCCTTGAATCTCCTACTTTGAGTCGTGTCCTTCTGCCATCTCTAGCATAACTGACTTCACCCTGATGCAGCCCCACTCAGCCCACTCCTGAGTTCTCTGCTAAACAGACTCATTGAGAACTCCCAATGAAATATATGGGAATGAGGTTTTGAAATTTGATCGACCTAGGTCTGGAAATTCTCTGAGTCTGTGTTGATTTTTTTGCAGAATGGGGGTAATAACACCTAATTCAGGAGATTCTCATGTTAAAGTAGATAATGCATGCGAAGTGCCCAGATCCCCTTTTTCCTGCCCCCTAGCTCCCTGAGATTCCTCCAAGGGCCATGTTTTGGGTTGGCTGCAATGAATTCTCCAGTGAGACCCCAGGACACCAGTTTCTCAGGCAGTTTCACTTATCAGAATTGTGGTCCCTCCCCTGAGAGAAAGCTGCCTCTAAGGACATGCTGTACTTTCTCATTACCTCAGGTGTTCAGGAGATTGGGGAGATGGTGGGCTTGAGTTCAGAGGAACTAGAGAGAGCTTTATGCTCAAGGACCATGGAAACAGCCAAGGAAAAGGTGGTCACTGCACTGAATGTCATGCAGGTAAGGGGCTCAGTGTAGGGGAGGGGTCTGTTTTGACTCTGTTCTGTGATGGCACCCTAACCAGCTGGGCCTCACCCACAGGCTCAGTATGCTCGGGACGCCCTGGCTAAGAACATCTACAGCCGCCTCTTCAACTGGATAGTGAATCGAATCAATGACAGCATCCAGGCAAGTGGCCACTCTCCTTTCTCAATGCTCTCCTGTCTGCCTCACCTCCTTGCCCAAACCTTGGTTTCCGAGATGAGCAGAGTAGGAAATATGACAGGGAGGGTACAGTTCCTTCCAACGGTGTGTTGTTACAGAAACATCACTGACTTTTGAGTTAGACAATCTGGATCCATCATCTACTAACCAGTCATGTGGACTTTCAATTTCACAAAGATTCTGGAGCTCAGTCTCCTGATTTGGAACTGCCCACTAAGAAACACTAATGTGCTGGGTGTGGTGGCCCATGCCTGTAACAAGTCTTTGGGAGGCTTGGGTGGAAGGATTGCTTGAGCTCAGTAGTTCAAGATCATCTTGGGCAATATAGTGAGACCCCCAACTCTATATTTTATGAAAAAAAGTAAATAAAAACTATTTAAAAAACACTAGTGCATGCCTACCTGCTTCACAGGGTTTAATGAGGATCAGATAAATTATGTAAATAGTTACCATATGATTCCACAATTCCCTCTCCTAGGTATATATCCAAGAGAATGGAAATTAGATGTCCTCACTAAAATTTGTACACAAATGTTCATAGAAGCCTTATTTGTAACAGCCAAAAAGTAGAAACAGCCCATATAACCATCCGCTGATGAAGAGATAAACAAAATGTGGTATATCTGTACAAAAGAATGTTATTTGGCCACAAAAATAATGAAGAATGAAGTACTGATACATGTTTCAAGATTGATGAGCCTTGAAAACATTATGCTGAGTGAAAGAAGCTAGTCACAAAAGGCCACATTTTTTTTATTCCATTTATATGAAATGTCCAGAATAGGCAAATCCATAGAGATGGGAAGTAGGTCAATAACTTCCAAGGGCTGGCGGGAGAGGAGTATAGGGAGTGACTAATAATGGGTATAGGATTTCCTTTAGGGGGTGATGAAAATGCTCTGAAATTAGGTAGTAGTGATGGTTGTAGAACCTTTCAAATATACTAAAAAGCCACTGAATTGTACATGGTATGTGAATTATATTCAGTAAAGCTATTATTAACACATTATCCTCATGGAAGTGCTGTCTATTTAGAAGCTATTACTGAAAGGTAGTAGGATAAGAAGGGATTTAAGTCCAGGCTTGGGTAAGTACCTATCTTCTAAAATTTGACTTTTTCATCTGTAAAATGGGAATACTAATACCTTATAAGGTTATGATAAGCACATGGACTCTTTAATAAACACATGGACTCTATTGTAGAATGCTCTACAAATATAAGAGATGGTTATTGTCCTGAGAGGTTTTAATGTCTTTCTACCTGGTACCATGGGAGCACCCTCCTGGAATATATCTGTATCTTCCTTTTCCTCCTTTCCTCCCTCTTTGTTTGTCCTCTAGTGCGTGGAGGAGGGAGAGTAAAATCACAACAGTTCCTTTCCAGTTTGGCAAAGCTCTTGCTAATTCTGTTTGCCCCATACTCCAACCCCATCTGCTCCAGAAGGACCTTTCCTGGTGTGCAGAGGGGGCCTATTCTCAGATTTATCTTTCCCTCCTCTTCAGGTGGGCATCGGGGAAAAGAAGAAGGTAATGGGAGTCCTTGATATCTACGGTTTTGAGATATTAGAGGTGAGAGCGCCTCACCTCAGCACCCTGTTCCCCTAGGTTTAGAGGTGGACAGGCTCACGGAGGGCAGGTGGGGGAAGTTGTGAGGGAGGGGAGGTAGGGCTGAGAGGGAGAAAGTGCCTTGGAGTGAGCTCTCTAACCTGTGCACCCTCTCTCAGGATAACAGCTTTGAGCAATTCATGATCAACTACTGCAATGAGAAGCTGCAGCAGGTGTTCATAGAGATGACCCTGAAAGAAGAGCAGGAGGAATATAAGAGAGAAGTAAACTAAGTCTTTTCTGCTTCCCCCTCTTAAACAACTTCTGGGCATATACCAGAGCTTCTTTTCTCCTTGTTCACAATTTCTTATAAGTCATCCCTAGATGGGACCACAGAGGACACAATGTTGTACTTGCATAGTAGTTCATTCCAAGGAGCCGTGGTGGCTCGGGCCAGTTGTCCTGGCACTTGAAGAGATGAGGCTATGTGTTCAAAGCCAACCTGGGCAACATAAGAACCTCTCATTCATTAAAAAAAAAAAAATTTTTTTTTTTGGCTGGGCACAGTGTCTCACGCCTGTAATCCCAGCACTTTGGGAGGCCGAGGCGGGTGATTCACCTGAGGTCAGGAGTTCAAGACCAGCCTGGCCAACATGGTGAAACCCCATCTCTAAAAAAAAAAATAAAGTAGATCATTCCAGCATTACCAAGTAGCCCTAATCCTCTGCTCTCCATCCTCAATTTCCATGGCCTACCATTCCAGGCCAGGCAAGGCAGGGGGCACATTGATGAAAGGGTGCATGTGTGGAAAGTCCTGACAAGAGGGAAGTGACAGCTGTGCTTGGCCTATGGCAGACTGTGAGCCAAATATAGAAGGGACATTTCTCCTGGGCTTGGCCTAACCACATGTCTTTCTGTGCCCTTCTCTAACATCTCAGAGCCCTTGGCCTCCCCCAGGCCCTAGCTACCATTGCTGTCCCTTCTTGTAACACCATGATCCCAGACTTCCTCACCAGAAGTGCCCCATGGCTCCAATATCTATGGCTAGGTGTGAGAAAAGCTCTCTGATTGAGCTCATTCCCTTCAAAGTGTTAATGGCTGAGTCTCACGCATCAAAACCCTTCCAGGGATGTTCCCTTGTGAGCTCTCAGGAATTGGTTGTAACAGAATTTCAGGCAATGTGGTCACAATGTGTGAAACAGTTTTTTTTAGTTGTTTTGTGTGTTTTAACAGTTTAAATGATCAAATACATAATACATTCCCATGCTTCAAAATTCAAAAAGTTTAGAAAGTCTATAAGGAAAGGTTTCCTCCTACTTCTGCCCCTAGACTCCTAGTTCCCCTCCCTACCCAGAGGCAACCAACATGGGCCTCCTTTCAGAAGTCTCTTACACATATGCAAGCAAATTTATAAATATATTTTTCCACAAAATCTATACCAATGACAGTGAATACACTCTGTTGTATACTTTGTTGTCATCACGTAACAAGATCTTTCCATATCAGTATGTAAGGATGCTTTTATATAGTATTTTAAGGCTATCATAATTCCTTTAACTGGTTGGGGAAGGTATTTTGGGGATGAAGTGGGAGGGCAACTTAATTTACTGTTTTCTGTACAGATCTGTGATAGAGGGAGGAAAGAAAGACCTATGCTTCCCAGCCATACCTGAGAATGTCTCAGCCTGGGGCATCTGGCCCTTGGGTGGGATCAGGAGCTATCCTGTCTGTGGGCCTGATGCCCAGCAGGTCCCCAAAATGGAGAACGATTATCTTTGTGTCTTCTGCTTTTGTACCATTCTTGCTTTCAAAAAATTATATAGTCTCAAAGTTTCATGTAGATAAGGTGGTTCCTAAAGGGTAGCCCTAGACCAGCAGCATCAAAATCACCTGGAAACATGTTGGAAGTACAGATTCCAGGCCTATATCCCAGACCCGTTGAATCAGAAACTTAGGGAGTGGGACCCAGCAATCTGTATTTTAATAGCCCTTCAGGTGATTATGGTGCACACTGAAGTTTGAGAATCACTGATATAGATCTTCGAAGATGTAACCCGTTAGCCCTGTTGTTTGATGATAAACTCTCACTCGTGTGCTATGGTTTTATAGAGCACAGAGTAGTGTGGCCACTGTTCCACATACACGTGTATCCTTCCCCACTCCCACATTGGAAATCTCTATCCTAATCTTCATTCAACATTTTACACTTTCCTTTCCACCCTGCACCGCCTACAGGTCTGCACTGTCTCACTCTCTCACAGCTGCTCCATTTCCTTCCGTGTGTCTGTCTACCCACCCCACAAATTCTCCACCAACCTTGGAGGGATGGAGACAAAATAGAAATCATACCAAAGACCCTTGTGAACTATGGGGCTTTCTGATGTCCTTTGTTGGGTGGGTGAAAGGCTGGACCTGGTGAGGTCTCTGGAGACTCGTCTTGGACCGGTTCCCTGTAACTTGTTGTCTCTCCCGACCAGGGCATACCGTGGACAAAGGTGGACTACTTTGATAATGGCATCATTTGCAATCTCATTGAGCAAGTGAGTTCTCTTTCTCTCATCTGTGTGACTTGCCCCTCCAGACTGCCTGAACATCCTTCCCCTGTCTCTTCCTGATTCCCCACTTGGTAAGCACAGTAAAGAGGGCAGAAAATGAGAAGGGGTAATGGGGGCAGCAATGAGAACGTGGACATCTTGGAGGACCAGATTTAGGTTGGGTTTCTTTTGTTTCCCCGGCCCAGAATCAGCAAGGTATCCTGGCCATGCTGGATGAGGAGTGCCTGCGGCCTGGGGTGGTCAGTGACTCGACTTTCCTAGCAAAGCTGAACCAGCTCTTCTCTAAGCACAGCCACTATGAGAGCAAAGTCACCCAGAATGCCCAGCATCAGTATGACCACACCATGGGCCTCCACTGCTTCCGCATCTGCCACTATGCGGGCAAGGTGAAATAACAGGGCTGGAGGGCAGAGATTAGGGCCGAGGCCCAGGCTGAAGGCAATAGGGGAGGAACCTGGGGAAAGTGAGAGTCTGGAATACTTCACAATGAGACTGGGAGGGCCAAGTGCTAGGACAAGGTTGTGGGGTCTCCAAACCAATAACTGCTCCTTTACAGGTGACATACAATGTGACCAGCTTTATTGACAAGAATAATGACCTACTCTTCCGAGACCTGTCACAGGCCATGTGGAAGGCCCAGCACCCCCTCCTTCGGTCCTTGTTTCCTGAGGGCAATCCTAAGCAGGCATCTCTCAAACGACCCCCGACTGCTGGGGCCCAGTTCAAGAGTTCTGTGGCCATCCTTATGAAGAACCTGTATTCTAAGAACCCCAACTACATCAGGTGACATGCTGGCATGCAGGGGAACATGCTACATATGTGATGGCATGTACAGGGTCCATGTGCTGTAGAACATGTTTGTGTGGAGGTGCCTCTGAAATAAAGATATTAGAAGTCCTTTCCTCACAGAAAACAGAGCCAGATAAGGAGCTGAGAGTCCCATAGGAGGAGAGCATCAGACTCAGTAGGGAATACTTAGAAGTGAGTGAAACTGGGGAGGCCAGTGTGTCTACTTTCTTTGAAAAATTTCAATGAAGTGGACTGTGTGAAGCACAGGGGTGTAGGATGGGCTACACTGGAAGTGGTGTCGGCTCCTGAAGCCTGTACCTTACCCCACCTCCCACCCAGGTGCATAAAGCCCAATGAGCATCAGCAGCAAGGTCAGTTCTCTTCAGACCTGGTAGCAACTCAGGCTCAGTACCTGGGACTGTTGGAGAATGTGCGGGTGCGACGAGCAGGCTATGCCTACCGCCAGGGTTATGGGCCCTTCCTGGAAAGATACCGATTGCTGAGCCGGAGCACCTGGCCTCGGTGGAATGGGGGAGACCGGTAAGCCCCTATGGGGAGATGGGCATCAGGAAAGGGCAGTGCAGGAAGAGACCTGGGGGAAGAGACCTGGAGGTGTCGTGCACATCTGTTGAAGCTGGGTGAATGGATACTTGAGGGAATGAATTGGATGATCACTTCTTGGAGGCTGAAAGGATTAGGGGAAAGGTGTAAGAAGACTCTCCTGAGGTACCCCTCTGCAGCTCTCCATCATTTGCTTCCATAGGGAAGGTGTCGAGAAGGTCCTGGGGGAGCTGAGCATATCCTCAGGGGAGCTGGCCTTTGGCAAGACAAAAATCTTCATTAGAAGCCCCAAGACTGTGAGTTAGAGAATGCACTTGCATTTGGTGAAGGTGGAAGGTAGAAGAGGGAGAGCCCACCTGGAAAAGGCTGGAGTGGGAGGGAACATGTATAACATGGAATGGATAGTGGATGGGAAGCTTCCTGTCTGCAGGAAACTTATCCCTGGAAACTAAACTCTTGGGTTCCTAAACTGCCCTGAACCTGGGGAGCTCCATGCTGCATGGCTCTAAGTGCCTCTGCCTGAGGCCGAACTCTTGAGGGTTGGGGTAATGTGCTGCTCATATCTGATTTCCCGTCATCTAGCTCAGTGCCTGCTACAGTTAGAGTTCAGTAGATGCTTGTTTACTGAATGAATAAATGAATGAACTAAGAAGACAAAGGAATGATCAAATAAGGCCTGGTTGGGAAGCCTCAGTACTGTTGGGGTACAGGAAAGGAAAGCACTGTTCCTCTGGACCAGTCTCTCTGTCCCACCCTTCCACCTCTCCATAGCTTTTCTACCTCGAAGAGCAGAGGCGCCTGAGACTCCAGCAGCTGGCCACACTCATACAGAAGATTTACCGAGGCTGGCGCTGCCGCACCCATTACCAGCTGATGCGAAAGAGTCAGATCCTCATCTCCTCTTGGTTTCGAGGAAACATGGTATAGTCACCCCCAAAGTCCCACCCCCGTTCACCCTAATGGGGGGGTGGGAGGTGGCTCAGGAGGTGCCGTTTTTCTAACAACTCCCATGTTTTCTACAGCAAAAGAAACGCTATGGAAAAATAAAGGCGTCCGTGTTGTTGATCCAGGCTTTTGTGAGAGGGTGGAAGGTAATGGAGAGTGGAAGAGGGGTTTCCTCACATTGTTCCTCCTGGATTGTGCCACCTGCTGGCTAGAGCAGCAGAGAGCTAGTCCTACCTGCACCCAGGCCATACCTCTGTATATCAGCCCGTGCATGTGTGGGTGGGTACCTGGGAGTACCTGTAGGGGAGACCTGTGTAGGTGTCTGGGTGTGTAGATGCTTAACCTGGCAGCAGAACTTTGCCTTCTGCTCTAAGTGTCCTCACTGCCAACATGTCTATTTCCTCTCTTCCAGCTACAATCTCAGCTCTTTATCTTCCTCTGTTCTTTGTGTGGTTGAAAAATAATAGGACCTCTTCTAGAATCTATCTTCACTTTGGCTCCTTTCTTGTACTTTTCTGCCAGGCCCGAAAGAATTATCGCAAATATTTCCGGTCAGAGGCTGCCCTCACCTTGGCAGATTTCATCTACAAGAGCATGGTAAGTGGTAGGGGTTAGGGTGGATGTTGGGGGTGAAGCAGGGAAATACAGATTTGGGAGATGAGTTTGAGAAGAGGCAACCCAAAGCTTTCCTCCAAGAGTTTCCTCAGTCTGCATGTACTTAAGTCCTAGGAGAAGAGGGGATGGGCAGCTACCTGCAGGGAGCAGGTCCCAGTGCCTTGGACTCAGGGGCAGAATCAGATAGCAGTTTGGCATGAGTGGACACTGCAGGTGACTTTATGGCAGGAAGAGGTCTCAGCACACCCATCATCTGGTCTATGGGCAAATAGGCTTGTGAAGAGCCTGGGGCTTGATGTTTGACAACAGTTGAAGAGGCTAAGCTTCATTGAAGAGTAGAGTGATCTGCACACTAGCCCAACCTCCCAAGATCCATTTTAGGGTTGGGGTGAAGGTGGGGGAATGATGTCTTCCTTCTACTTCCTCTGAAACTATTGTGGGCAAGTCAGAAAGTAAATCTTAGGAAGGACCTATCCTAATTCTGGAGAACTTGGGTCAGGCTGGATGGGAAGACCCACCTGGAAGGCCTACACAATCAAACTTACAGGCAATTCCCAGAGGGAGAGAAACAGAGACAGAGAAGAGTAACTTCTGGAGATATCAGGCAGATAGTAATGGTGCTTCTGAGAAGTGTCAGGGAGGAAACCAGGGAAGGAGAAGCACTTCCAGTGAAACCCTGGGAAAGGCCAGAGAGAAGGAGGAAGAGCATGGGGTCTTGGAGTGAGGCTGGAGCAAATTGTAACTGACCTCCATTGATTGGGTTTTTAACCATAGTTAGGACCCTGACTGTGCTCATTCAGACATGAAACATATTTGCTTGCAGCCGCCCTTTGTTGTTCGAGAATCTGGATCCCCCAGCTCAAGAGACGAATGGGTGCTCTGAGGCTCTGGGCCTCTGTTTTGCCTTCCTGAGCCTTCATTTGCTCATTTTCTTCCCCTCCCCAGGGAAGTTCCATCTTCCAGGTCCCTTTAGTTGCCTGGTCGCCTCTTGTGCTGGTGCTAGAGCATTTGCCTTCCCACCATACGTGCTTCTTGCTACACACCTGAGACTTGTAATTTGATTTTGCTCTTATCTCCTGACTGCTCTTCGTCCTCCTTTTCTTTTACCTGTATATTGTCAGGCAGCTACTAAATGTCAACCTAGAAGCTGCTGGATTTAGACCAGGGTCTCAATAAATCACACCCCCACAGAAGCCTGCAGCCACTGGGCACCGATCCCCCCAGTGTTTCTGACTATTCCAGTTTGCAATTGCCTTGACTGTAGCTAATGACAGTACCCATTATCTTTTGTTTTATTTTTGTTTGTTTATTTATTTACTATCACTCTTGTCACCGAGGCTGGAGTGCAAGGCATGATCTCGGCTCACTGCAGCCTCTACCTCCTGGGTTCAAGCAATTCTCCTGCTTCAGCCTCCTGAGCTGGGATTACAGGCACGCACCACCATGCCCAGCTAATTTTTGTATTTTTAGTAGAGACAGAGTTTCACCATGTTGGCCAGGCTGGTCTTGAATTCCTGACCTCAAGTGATCTGCCCATCTTGGCCTCCCCAAGTGCTGGGATTACTGCAGTGTGAGCCACTGTACCCAGCCTATTTTTTTTGAAGTGGAATCTTGTTTTGTCGCCCAGGCTGAAATGCAGTAAGCATGATTTCAGCCTCCCTAGTAGTTGAGACCACAGGCACATGCCACCACTCGCAGCTAATTTATTCTATTTTTGGTAGAGATGTGGTGTCACCATGTTTCCCAGGCTGGTCTCAAACTCTTGAGCTCAAGCGATATGTTCATCTTGGCCTCCCAAAGTGCGGGGATTACAGGCATGAGCCACTGCACCTGGCCTTACCCATTGTCTTTTGAACACCTACTATGCATTAAGCTCTTTACATGCATTAACTATAATACTTTCAACAACCCTGTGAGGTAGGCTCTTTTCTTTCTCCCATTTTATAGTTAAAAAGCCAAGCCTCAGAGAGGTTGAATAACTTGCCAGGGGTTCCATAACTATAAGTGGTAAAGCTGGGATACAAACTATTTGACTCTAGAGCTTTTAAACACTGCCTAAGACAACCCCCCCCCCCCCCCCCCGCCAATAGATGCTTGGGCAACCTGTGGCTCTAGGCAGACCTGGGGGCAGGAGGGCTGCATAGGGAAAGACAGAACATTCTAGATCTAGAAAAAAAGAAACAATAAAAAGAAGAAAGCCTTCAGAAGCTCCACACTAATTGGAACAAAGAGGATTATGACAGATGCTTAGACCTATTTGTTGAATTATTAATAAATAAAATCAGACCAGGGACTGGGGACTCCAGGGTGATTAGAGGCCTTTCTAGGCCCAGATCCCATGGACCAAACCTACCAGAACTGTAGTCTGAAGCTACCGTGAGCTCGGATAGTTTCTGCAGTTACAGCAATTTACTGTGTGTTCTGCCTCTTTTGTTTTAATTTTTTAACCTGTTGATTTTCTTAGGTGTGGTAACAGAGTTACGACTGTGTAAGAGAATGGCCCAGTTCTTGGGAGAGGCATGCTGACATTTTAGGGTAAAATGTCTTAATGTCTACAACCTACTTTAGGATGGTAGGATAACAAGGATTTGTGTAAATACGTGTATGCATGTATTTATATGCACATATGTGTGTGTATGTGTTAGAGCATACAGTGCAAGGTGTTAACATTATCAGTTGGTGAATTTAAATGAGGGACGTACAGTATACAGATATTAATTATATCAATTTTTCCAACTTTTCTGTAAGTTTAAAAACTTTCAAAATAATAAATAAGCTGTATTGAATTTTAAAAACTTACACTATACTATGCTACTATTCTGCATAAACTCTCCAATGGTGTTCCATTTTACTCCTTACCATAGCCTACAAGGCCCTTCGTGATCTGTACCGACCAACTCTCTGATCCTCTCTCTTCCTGCTCAAGTGATTCTGGTCATTTTTTTTTTTTTTTTTTTTTAAATATAAAGATGGAGTTTTGCTCTTGTTGCCCATGCTGGAGTGCAATGACGTGATCTCCGCTCACCACAACCTCTGCCTCCTGGGTTCAAGTGACTCTCCTGCCTCAGCCTCCTGAGTAGCTGGGATTACAGGCATGTGCCACCACACCCAGCTACTTTTGTATTTTTAGTAGAGATGGGGTTTCTCCATGTTGGTCAGGTTGGTCTCGAACTTCTGACCTCAGGAGATCCACCTGCCTCGGCCTTCCAAAGTGCTGGGATTACAGGCATGAGCCCCATGCCTGGCAGCTTTTTGTTTTGTTTTTGAGATGGAGTCTTGCTGTCTGTCACCCAGGCTGGAGTGAGACCTGGGATCCTGATTGTATCCTCCTAGATACAACTCAGTATCTAGGAGAGGGAGATGTTTTCCATGCAAATAACTAAAGTACAAAGACAAGCGTAGGCAAAGTGCTGTGGAGCTTCAAAGGAAGGAGCAGCAATCTGGGGCCTGGGGAATCAGGGAGGGCTTTGAGTTGGTCTCTCAGGTTGGCAGAGTTGAGTCAAGAGAGCAGCGGGAGCCAAAGCACACAGTCACCATGCTTGGGCTGGGGAGGGGCATGGGAAAGAGTCCTGTCTGCATGGTGTGCCCAGGGAATGCAGGGGTCCTGTGACATGAGGCTGGGCTCTTAAGTGTCATGGAGGAAACCAGGGAGAGAGAAGCACTTCCAGGGAAACCTTGGGAAAAGCCAGAGAGAAGGAGGAAGAGCATGGGATCTTGGACAGAGGCTGGAGCAAATTATAACTGACCGCCACTGATTGGATATTTTACTGTGGTTAGGACCCTGACTATTGCGCACTCAGACATAAGGTACATTTGCTTGCAGCACTTCTTTGTAGTTCAAGGGTCTGGATCCCTCAGCTCAAGAGAGGAATGGGGACTCTGGAGCTCTGGGCCTCTTCATTGCCTCCATGAACGTTCATTTGCTCTTCCTCCTTTGCTCCTTCATTTGCTCCTTCTTCCTTTGAATGGAGGCTGACATGTTTGGACTTGACTGATGTGAGAGGAGGGGAAATTTGGTACCTAGCCAACAGCCGACACAGTGGCTGCCACCTGTAGGCAACTGTGAACAGAGGGAATAGAAAGCTACAGGAGTAAAACAATGAGACCAGCTTTCATATTGGTTCCTCTTACATCACTGCCCTGGGAGCAGGTCTCTGGTTGGAACTAATCCTTCTCTCCCTCCAGTCTCCTATTCATGCTCTTACCTCCCAGCCTCAAGCCTGCACCTAATGCTGAAAAAGATCTAAGAGGTGACTCCTTTCCATCTCTTCAGCAGCACCCCTTCCTTCTCGCTGTGGGTTAACTTCCTCCTTTGAAGTAGCAGGATCTGGGTGCCAGTTTGCCTGTTAGGAAGTGTTTCTTCTCATCACTCCACTCCCAATCCGCCTGCTCCCAACCCAGGTACAGAAATTCCTACTGGGGCTGAAGAACAATTTGCCATCCACAAACGTCTTGGACAAGTCATGGCCAGCCGCCCCCTACAAGTGCTTTAGCACAGCAAATCAGGAGCTGCGGCAGCTCTTCTACCAGTGGAAGGCAAGTGGAGCCCAGAAACCCCTCCTCTCATTTTGTCTTTTTTTTTTTCCTCCCGATGATTTTCCGCTTTTGCCTCCCTCTTCTACGTTTTTCCCATTTAAAAAATTGTGGTAAAATCTATGTAACATACAGTTTACCATTTTAACCGTGTTTAAGTGTACAGTTTAGTGGCATGAGCGACATTCATTTGTTGTGCAACCATCACTGCCTCGATGGTCCTGCAGCCCCAGCCTCTCCCTGAGGTGTTTAGTGCCTGTCCTTTTTCTTGATCTCTCTCCTCTCCTGGTGTCTTCTAGTCCATGTTTCTTACCTCCCTCCCCAGCCTGCCCTCCCACTCTATGATTTTAGCTCCTGTCCCTCCTTCCTCACAGTGCAAGAGGTTCCGGGATCAGCTGTCCCTGAAGCAGGTAGAGATCCTGAGGGAAAAGCTCTGTGCCAGTGAACTGTTCAAGGGCAAGAAGGCTTCATATCCCCAGAGGTGAGGACCTCCAGGACCCTGCACAGCCAGTTCCATCGGGTGGGGGTTCTCAAACTTGAGTCTGCCTCAGAATCACCTGGCAGGATTGTCATCCCCAGGCGCTGTGCCCTTCCTCAGAGTCTCTGATCCAGGCGGTCTTGGGGTGGGGCCCAAAATTTGCCTTTCTAACAAGTCCCCAGGTGGTGCTGATGTCTTGGCCCTGGACTATGCTCTGTGGAGCATTGACAGAGGATACATGGACGCAGGCAAGGGCCCACGAGGACTAGGATGGGAGCTCTGGAGGTGGGGGAGAGGCCTTGTAGGGCCTTGTTTCCACTGCACACCTCCCATGTGTTCTCAGTGTCCCCATTCCATTCTGTGGTGACTACATTGGACTGCAAGGGAACCCCAAACTGCAGAAGCTGAAAGGTGGGGAGGAAGGCCCTGTTCTGATGGCAGAGGCTGTGATAAAGGTCAATCGTGGCAATGGCAAGGTAAAGGGCGTGTGGGCTGAACTCCTCTGCAGAACTGTGGGCCAGCAGCTGGAAAGCGGATAGCAGGTTGTGTGTGTGCCCTGCCGGTGGAGTGGGGGCAATAATCCTGCCTTTCCTCACCCTTTCCTATTCTGTCCCTAGACTTCTTCTCGGATTCTCCTCCTGACCAAGGGCCATGTGATTCTCACAGACACCAAGAAGTCTCAGGCCAAAACTGTCATTGGGCTGGACAATGTGGCTGGGGTGTCAGTCACCAGCCTCAAGGATGGGCTCTTTAGCTTGCATCTGAGTGAGGTATCAGAGTCAGGTGGGGCAGGCCTTGGACTGGAGAAGGTGGTACGCATCCCAGGGCTGGGGCAGGCCAGAGGTGATGGGGACCAGACCTTTCGCTTTGGGCCATTGCCATCCCTCAGGCTGCTCCTGGAGAGAAAAAATGAGTCCCTTCCCTGCTATTTTTCCCTCTCTCTAAGATGTCATCCGTGGGCTCCAGTGGGGACTTCCTGCTGGTCAGCGAGCATGTGATTGAACTGCTGACCAAAATGTACCGGGCTGTACTGGATGCCACGCAGAGACAGCTTGCAGTCACCGTGACTGAGAAGTAAGGCCATGAGTTGGGGTGAGGGGTGGCTTAGGGAAGACAGCCAGGTTGATGGTCATTGTGACCAGGATCAGAAAGCGAAGCATATAGGGCAGGGCAGGGCAGGGCTTGGAGCTGTTTCTCAGGCCCCCAACCCAGGTTCTCTGGGGCCTCGAGTCCTCTGACTTGCATGATGGGGGAGCTATCATGGAAGTGCAGGAGTCAGGTAAAAGGAGTCAGGTAAAGGCACTAGATTTGGTTTTTCTCTTCCCTCTCCAGGTTCTCAGTGAGGTTCAAGGAGAACAATGTGGCTGTCAGGATCGTCCAGGGCCCTGCCGGTGGTGCCAACAGCAAGCTACGCTGCAAAAAGAAGGGGAGCCATTCCCTGGAGGTGACTGTGCAGTGAGGAGGGGGCACCGCGCAGAGATGGCAGCTGCTTCCTCCTGGCCAGGACTAACCCCTCTCTGCCCTCCTGTGTGGGAAGATCTCTGTCTAACCCTTCTGGTCGTGGGGCACAGCTTGGAGATTAAACTACCTTGAAGAGGATGCTTGTCCCAAACCCTTCTAGTTCTCTCCTCCAAAAGTAGCTTCCTGCCACCCTCAGCCTCTCTGCCCACTAATAAAACATGTGCCTTGGAAAGGTTTGGTCAGGGTGGGTGGGTCCCTGTTCCCCATATCTTTTCATCCAGGTGTACTTAGACCCCTGCCCCGCATGCCCTTGTTCTTCCTCAAGCTTCTTTGAGCCAGCTAGTGAGGTAATAAGAAAAGAAAAGAAGGGAAATTGTCTTCAGGCTCCTTGACCGGCTGAGCTCTGCGGGGGTTTGGAGAGACTGAGGGGGGTGGGGGGGCTGTGGGGAGAGTTAAGGATGGGGCTCAGGTCGCAGGTGGCCAGTGGACTGATTCATTAAGTGTGTCCCTGGAGGGAAGAAGTGAGCATCCCTGTCTTGGCAGAAACTGGGATCCTTTGGTGATTTAGCCTGAAAAGCGGCCCAAGGCTAGAGGGCTCATGTATGCTGGGGGCTCGGGGAATGCAGGGCCCCTGTAGCTGGGAACGCCATCACCCTTCTACTCCCACACACAGCACAGGGCTGCATCACACCAGCCTCCCTGGCACCGCTTTCCTTCCCACACACCCACGGCCAAACTGCTGCCGATGGTTATCTTGCTGGTTATCTTGCTTGACGCTGTCCCACAGCTGGGGCCTGCAACGGGTGGCACTTCACTGGGAGGCTCCCTCATCAAGACCCTCCCATGCCTGTGAACTGGCGCTTTCCTCTCCTCTTCCTTTATTTTTTTCTGCATCATCGTCATTATCTTTTTCTCACCCTCCAACAATCTCACACCATCTCATTGTCCCTGTTTCTGTGGGCTCTAATATTAATATGTAATAGTTTGTAAAATGCTTTAAATATATTTCTACTCCCCCTCATATCTATTTTCTTATAGATTCTGTCTCGTCTCAGCCTCTCACCATCCTGGCCTCTACCTTTGGGGAACAAGCTGCTCCTATATTCACAGTAAAATTTAGATCTGTGGTCTGTGGGAACTTACCAGGGGCTGCCTTTGTCTCTGGCTGTCTCTTCCCCCTCTCAAGATCTCTACCTTGCCTACCTCTTCCCGATTCTTTCCCTGAGCTCACTGTGCCTTGAGGCTGGGGTCTCCCTCCACCTGACTTCCATCTGTAGGCAGCTCACGGCCCCTGGCAATCATGCTGGTGAAGGAGACCTGATTAACTTCTCTTCCTGCCTGCAGATTAATCTGCTCTGAGCACAAGCCACTTGCTTCTGGCACACCCTGCTCTGAGCTGAGATAGGACCTGGGGAGTCATCTGTTTTCAGGCGAGTGAGGGGCTAGAGCCTGCCTTGTTTGGGAGGAGGGCAGCTCTGTTCAGAGTAGGAGCAGCTTAGGCTCTGGCCAGCCTTCTTCCACCCCCAACAACTCCCCCTATCCTTGACTTCTCAGAATCAGGCCAAGAAGAGCCTGTCTGGCTGAGAGGGGGGTGGCGACCTGTGCCTGATCGCCCCCGCTCTCTGTCTCATCTCCTGCTCCCAGGGCCCAAATTGTCGTCACTTTCCCAGTGAAGTGTCTGGTCATTTTCAGAAGCAATTTCAGAACATGCAGCTGCTGCTCCCTATCCTGCATTTCTCTTTGCAGGGCTGAAGGCACTCTCAGTTCACTGGGCTGGGGGTGGTGGGAGAGGAGAAGGGCTAGGGCCCCAGGCCTCACTCCTGTTCTCACTGTGTCCATCATGTGGACGGACTGGAGTTCAAGGAAAGGTGGGCACTTCCCTTCTCCTTTACTCTTCCATCTCTCCCTTCGTCCTCCTCTTTCCTGTCTCTGCCTCTCTTGCCTGGAGCCCAGGAGTATGTATTTTCATCCCCTGAAACCAATAGGGACTCAGTTTCCCCACCTGTATAGCAGGGTTGGAATTGGCTCCATCACTGTGGAAGAATCTGGAGTTCTGCTGCCAGTCCTCCCCTCCCAGCCCTCTCCCTTCAGCGGCCAGTTCAGCACTCTGAGTCTGGGTTGTTTCAGCCTCTGAGGGGCACAAGCCATCCTGGATTCCCCAAACCCCATGAGGAGCCATTCTAGCATCTCACAGTTTAAACCAGCTCTAGCTCAGACCTCCATTTCTTCCCCAGGCTCTGAGGGCCTCTTGTTCCTTGGTCTTTGGGTTTTTTCCCAGCTGTCTCCTGGCTGCAGGACATGGCAGGACGTAGAATGCTGTCATCCTTCCACTCTTCATGGGTATCTCCACCCAGTGTCATGTATGACCCTAGCCCTGCCCTCCCCTCACCAGTACCCCTCTGGGATTTTGAGAGTCCACAGGTTGTGCATGTGGAGTACCTCTCGTGTGCACAAGCTAGAGGGTCTGCTTCCACCTCTGGTGCTTAGTCAATTGCTGACTAACCTGTCTCATCACAGCACACTGTACACACCTTTTCCTGGCCTCATCCCTAACCCATCCTAACAGCAAAGAGGGGAAGTTGCAGGGAAGGATCCTGGACTCCAAGTACCCTGCTCCTCTAGGCCATGGACATCATCTGAGATGTGGCTCAAATAAAGAGTGGGTATTCAAGAAAAGACACTTGGGGGCTCTATAGCTGCAACATCAACTTTGCATGTCATTTCCATATGATCTGTAGGCAAAATGAAGCCCAGGCTGTCCTAACCCTCCAGTACCTCCCTCCCTTATCACCTCTCCAACATAGCCTAGCATTAGCTCTTTCAAGTCTTTGCTAACCCCAGAGATCAAGAGATGATCAGCTCTCCCTGCCATCCCCTTGCCTCCCACCCCCCATCCTTGGCTCCTGCCATCCTCTGTGAGATGGTGCATCATCAAAGGACATTATTTATGGTGGACCTTTGCTGAAGCGCTGCTTCCCTGGTGTCAGGGCTTGGGAGCAGGGATGGATGCAGAGATTGGACCCAGGAGGCTTTTGGTCTTCAGCTCTTGGCTTAACACCTCCTCCTCTTGCATATCCAACTTCCTCCAGGCTGCCTAGCTTGGGACTGCAACTCCAGACCAGTGGGGTTAGGAGAGGAGGAGGAGGGAGATGGATGGATCCAATTAGCAACAGCACTTGGGCTTCTCACAGGAATGAACCAGTCATGCCATTTGCATGTAAACAGCTTCTCACATCTCTCCTCATCCTACCAAATGCTCTCAACCCTGGGTCCTGGCCCATGTTCTTTACCCACACAGCACTGTAATTAGCTGGGTAATGAGAAGCTTTTAATGAGGCCCCATTAGCATCTCACGTAATAACTGCTGTCCTCACTCTGGGATGAACATGGGCCTTCTGACAGTAGCCACAGTGACTTCTGTCAGTACCGTCTAAGTTCCAGGGTGGGTGGGGTGGGAGACAAACATTTCAGGACCCAAGCAGCATTTGAGAGGTTCCATGGTGGATCCATGTTTTGGACTGCGATACAAGAAACTTGGCTCTGTCTTTCTTGTTCATTTTGTAAACATTTTCTTTTTTTAAGAGAGAGAGTCTTCTTTGTTGCCCAGGCTGAAGTGCAGTAATGCAATTTATAGCTCACTGCAGCCTTGACCTCCTGGGCTCAAGTGATCCTTCTGCATCAGCCTCCTGCATCCCAGTAGCTGGGACTATAGGCATATGCCACCATCCCTGGCTAATTTTAAACAATTTTTTGGGTCGGGCGTGGTGGCTCATGCCTGTAATCCAAGCACTTTGGATGCCAAGGCGGGTGGATCACCTGAGGTCGGGAGTTCAAGACCAGCTTGACCAACATGATGAAACCCCGTCTTTAAGAAAAAAAAAATTCATTTTTGTAGAGATGGGGTCTTACTTGCTATGTCGCTCAGGCTGGTCTAGAACTCCTGGTTTCAAGTAATTCTCCCACCTTAGCCTCCCAAAGTGCTGGGAATATAGGCATGAGCCATCAGGCCCAGGCTTGTAAATATATTTTTATTGAGCACGTATTATATGTTAAACATAAAATGGGGGATAAAATGGCAAACAAAACAGACAAAAATTCTTGCCACCATGACACTTTTATTTCTGGGTGGGAGTGGGGGTAGAGAGACAATACGTAAAATACTTAGCATGGTGAATGTAATAAGTTCATGAAGGAAAAAACTGGAGTGAGATATATGGCGTTTCGGGGTCGTGATAATTTGAAATAGGGTGATTGGGGAGGCCTTGTTGAACAGATTGTTTTTGTAGTAAATACGATATAAAGATATGGTTCTCTCCCGATCCCAAGAGGTAGAAGAGTAGCAGATTCCAAATCTTTAAGTCTCTTGGAGAGATGGGCCACCCATTCCCTCTGGCACAGTTAACAGTTCCCTCACAGGTCACAGTTTGTCAGTGCAGTAAAAAGAGTGGGAGATCTCGGGTGAGACAAACTGGATTTGAGGCTGTTCTTCACTGGTTAGTAGCCATATGTACTGAAGCAAGTGACTGAACCTTCTGGGCCTGTTTTCTCATCTGGAAAATGGGAATATTTCCTACTTACATGGTCATGGTGATGAAAACCAGATGGACTGCTTGACACCAAAGCACCCTGCAAATATTCAAACACTGCACCCATTACAGACGCTGGGCTGACGGTTGGCTCTGGCTTTGATTTTGCATCTCCCCTGTCTCATTCAGCAGCAGCATCTGGCTCTGGCTCTTGGCTCTAATCCCGGCTCTGACTCTTCCCTGGGGCTCTCTCCCTTGGGTGTGAAATAAGCAGATAATCCCCCTCATCTGTGTGGGATGTCAACAAGAGGCTTGAAAGGTCGGAGGAGAAGATGCCTGAACTGCAGGGAGACAGATTAGAGTGGGGAAAATGTAACTTTGAGGAAAATGGGAAGCAATTAAGAGATCAAGGCCTGGGAGGGGATGGGGCCAGTGCAGCCATCAAGTTCTGTTCATCTTCTCTGAGATTACATCAGGAGAACTCTAGAAGGATGCAGCTAAATCCAGCTGCTTCAGGGGTAAAAAAGGATTGGGATGGGAGAGGTATGACCACTGTTGAGGAGTGGAGGGAGGCTGACACTGGAGCTTTCTTCACCCAATGGCAGGGGAGCGGTGTGCCACTTCCGAGGACCACTGTGATGGGGGAGCTCCCTCTGGGAGGAGGATGGGAGAGGACTGGAGGGAATGCCAAACTCACCTTCTAACC